CAACAGCATACTCTCACAAGTTCAACCAAAACACATACATACTGCAAGGCATCTCAGAATGCAATGTGCCTTGCTTATGCCTCCTAATGTTACTCTTAAAAGGTGTATGGTATTAAATCCATCTACATTACTTCCCCTGGATTTAAAATAGGGGAGTGGGGATAGTGGGAATGGTACTTGTACTTCTGATCTTTTTGTAAATTCACTTTCACCAGATGAGTTAGCTGATGCCCAGGTACCCCATGATTGTGCAGCACTAATGGCACAAGAGACAGCAGGTTTTTTGCATGTATTTGATTCTCCATTATCTAATGCAGATTTTGAGTTTTTTGTAGATGGTTCCAGATATGCTGATGAGAAGGGTAATTTCCACACTGGATATGCTGTAGTCTCTGCACATGAGGTAATAAAAGCTGAACCACTCGCTCCTCACTGCTCTGCACAGGAGGCAGAGCTGAAGGCACTCGCTGAAGCGTGTAAAATGGCTTCTGGTAAGACTGCTAATATTTATACAGACTCTCGCTATGCTTTTGGTATAGCCCATGATTTTGGCCCTATATGGCGGGCTCGTGATTTTCTCACCTCAGCAGGAACTCCAATCAAGAATTCTGAAGCCGTGAGTGCACTTATGGATGCTATCCTGCTACCCACTCAAGTAGGCATCATCAAGGTGGCAGCTCACGTGAAGATCACAGATGAGATCTCAAGAGGAAACCACAAAGCAGACGAAGCTGCCAAGCAAGCAGCAATCAAAGTTCATCCCTCTACAGGTAATACCTTTCTACAAGTTGTTCAGATGATGCCGTTGACTACAATATACTGTTGAGCTTACAAAGACAGGCAAGCAAGGAAGAACATGACCTCTGGAGGAAACAAGATGCAGAACCTGATGATGACAGAATGTGGAGAAAAGGTAAAAGACTGTGTTTACCACGAGTGTTGTACCCCATGATGGCCCAGATTGCCCATGGACCTACACATCTATCCAAGATGCACATGAACAGCATAGTAAACACCATAGGGTATCACCCGGATTTACTGTTGTAGCAGGTAAACACACCCAAGCTTGCATGATTTGTGCTAGAAACAATCCAGGACAAGCTGTGAAAACACCAAGTAAGCACACACCAAGGCCACTTTACCCGTTTCAAAGACTGCAGATAGACTATATTCAACTACCTAAGGTAGGAGTGTATGAATATGTGTTGGTGTGCATTGATCTCTTTTTAGGTTGGCCTGAGGCCTACCCAGTGTCGAAAGCCACAACGAAGGTCACAGCAAGTAAGCTTCTGAAGGAACTGGTATGAAGATATGGAGTACCTGAAGTGATTGAAAGTGACAGAGATAGCCATTTCACTGGGGAAATAATGCAAGAAATTATGAAAGCCCTAGGGATCAGTCAGGCCTTCCACACCCCCTATCACCCCCAGAGTAGTGGGAAAGTAGAAAGGGCAAATGGCACCTTAAAGAACAAGATTGCAAAAGCCATGCAAGGCACAGGGAAGTCCTGGACTGAATGCCTTCCCCTAGCACTCTTTTCTATGAGATTCACCCCCAATTCCAGACATGGCTTATCCCCTTTTGAGATCCTGTTTGGATGTGCCCCAAAGACAGGCCTCTATTTTCCCCAAACCCTCCAGATGCAGCATGGTAGTATGGCTGCCTATGTTCAGGCCCTACACCAAAGATTAGGCAGGGTGCATAAACAAGTCTTTGATTCTATTCCAGATCCAGACTGATTCTGCAACTCACAAACTGCAACCTAGTGATTGGGTGGTGATAAAGAGGCATGTGAGGAAAGGACTTGAACCACGCTTTGACGGTCCATTCCAAGTGCTCTTGACTATGGCTACCTCAGTGAAACTAATAGGAAAAGACACGTGGATACACGCCAGTCACGGTAAACAAGTCACTCCGACTGATCCACCAACATGAAGCTGTTCTTATCCTTTACCATTGTATGCTCTGTTCAGATATGCTACTCTGACTTGAGACCAGAAGATAATAGTGCATAGCAGGGACATATATAATTGCAGATAGCAAAGGCTTTTAATTTAACCTCCTTTTGCCTCAACCCTCTCCTCAGTACTGAAAACGCCATAGAAGCCCAGCACAGGAAGATGCTATTTCGCAATCTGTGCAAGAGTTTCTGCAGGCAGGGGTAGTTGTCCAGACCACCTCCCCTTGTAACACACGATTGTACCCAATTAAGAAAAAGCAAGAGAAAGGGAAACCTGTGGTCTACCGTATGGTACATGATTTGAGGGCAATTAATGCTGTAACTGAACTCATTGCCCCTAATGTTCCCAACCCACACACCTTGTTGGCACAAATACCACCTTCCTATAAGGTATTTACTGTTATTGACTTGGCAAATGCATTTTTCAGTGTCCCCCTGGCTCCCGACAGTCAGTTTTTATTTGCATTTACACATAAACACAAGCAGTACACTTGGACAGTATTGCCACAGGGCGCACAAAACTCACCCACTATGTACAGCATGGCTATGGCCCAGATTCTTGAAGAGTGGCAAAGGCCAAATAACGTAATTTTATTGCAGTATATTGATGACCTACTCCTATGTTGCGATAATATGGAATCTTGTATTGTAAACACTCTTTCCTTGCTAAAATTCCTAGAAAAAGCAGGCTGTAAAGCGACAAAAACAAAACTGCAAGCATGTGTAGAGAAAGTTATTTTCCTAGGACATTGCATTTCCCAGGGCATAAAACATCTCACGGAAAGTAGAAAAACTGCAGTTCAAAATATTAGACCCCCCCGCAGTTTAGCCCAGGTTCGTACTTTCCTCGGTTTGATTTCTTACAGCCGCCCTACCCCCATCTCACTGTTAAGGAAGTACCTACATACCCATAGACCCCATAAATCTCTACAACTATATTCTTATGCCTTCAACCCACTCGTAGGCAAGCCTCCTCTAGCCCTGAAGACAATTAATGTGACAGGAGCTGAACTATGTTGGTCTTTTTCATGTAATTGTTCAAGAGACCCTAATACTGAATCCCTGTTTTGCCCCACATGGTGGAAAAATACCACGAATTGTAGAGCCCTAAGCACTACTATGAATTGTACCAAAACTCACCAAGTAATGAGTTACCACTACAATATCTATCTTCCTAAAGGATGGACTTTCTCCTGTGGAAATATTACTTATGCTTATGTCCCAGGTAACATTACATGAGGTCCCTGTGCAATCTCTCGCCTAACCATGACCATGCTTTCCAAATCTGACCTTATCACTAAAACCACCCAGCTACACAAACTGCTGAGAGACAGGAGAGATGTTAAAAACACCCTTAATGCAGATTGTAACCCAGAAATCACTCTCTTATCTAAAGCCGAATACTCTGCCCTAGCGTACACCTGGTAGGAGTCCCAGGTTTAGCATTGTATAATACCCGAGTAATTAATGCTGTAGCCTGTTCCCTTGCAAAAGGTTTAAATGCCACTTCACAGGCCCTAGAAGAGCTACTTATGGACAGCCAGGCAAATAAGAAGGCAATCCTTGAGAATAGAGCAGCCATTGACTACTTACTAATTAAACATGACTTAGGCTGTGAAGCTATTGAAGGTATGTGCTGTTTTAACCTATCTGACCATGGCACTATGATCCATAAACATATAAAATATTTACATGACTTAGTACAGGATATCAAACAAGATACTGGTTTTTTTGGGGATTGGGATTGGACATTTGAGCTAGGAACATGGTTGACTTTACTAATTAAGAAGATTTTGTACTTTTTGCTGCTAGCTATATTTGTCATTATGGCTATTTTTCTAACCTTTAGATTTTTTTCATGTCTACTAACCTCTCTATGTAAAAGCAAACCTACTATTGGTCGTACCTTAACTTACATTCCAGCTCCGACTTCGAAAAGGTTTTATGATGTTACCTCGCCTAACAAATAAAGGAACTCTCCTCTGCTGATTCTGGTGGTCTCTCAGTCCAAGGGAACCATGGTGAAGCAATAAATGAAAGTCCCACAGGCTTTGGCTAGCAGGCCTGGATATACCTTGGACATTTGGGTGACCCTTGGATCAAAAGAGGGGATTGTGATAGAATGTATCTTGATTCCAAGGCTCAAGCTTTTAGGTGTCATATAATGATATCCTATATTAAAATTGGCTAACGTGGACTCAGGAAATGCTTGATGCTTAAACAACACTTAAGACCATATATGTCTAAGTTCCGGGAGCAGAGAGCCCCCACCTAAGATGTCTCTGCTCTAATCATTTTGTTCTTTCTTACCTTGAAAACTTATTTGTTATGTGTACATGACGCTCATCCCTATGTCTTATCTGTATTCTCTTCCTATTACTGTTTTAAGAGTATTTGCACGTAAGCACTTACTTTTTAATGTATAAAACCCAGCTGATGAATAAAACGTCAGAGGCTTATTTTGAATACCAACAGGTGCCTGGTGTCTAATTCTCGCTTCTCCAAGTGCACTTGTAACAACAATTTGGGCTTCCTCTGAATATAACAAAGATCAACATTTCTGATCCACAACAACTTCTACATGTGCCACCTGCTGCATTCCAATTCATCCCATCTGCCCCATCTGTAGTTAGCGGGTGGGAGCTATTAATTGCCATACATAGTGTTCCCACCCCAGCTTACACCCATTAGCAACAGGAAGGGTCTCTAATAATATAAAGGGGACCTAATATCCCTATCCCAGCCCCCACCCATTGGCAACAGGAAGGGTCTCTAATAATATAAAGGGGACCTAATATCCCTATCCCAGCCCCAACCCATTGGCAACAGGAAGGGTCTCTAATAATATAAAGGGGACCTAATATCCTCATCCCAACCCCCACCCATTGGCAACAAGTTGGTGCTCTAATAATATAAAGGGGACCTAATATCCCTATCCCAGCCTCCACCCATTGGCAACAAGTTGGGTCTCTAATAATATAAAGGGGACTAATATCCCTATCCCAGCTCCCACCCATTGGCAACAGGAAGGGTCTCTAATAATATAAAGGGGACCTAATATCCCTATCCCAGCCCCCACCCATTGGCAACAAGTTGGGTCTCTAATAATATAAAGGGGACCTAATATCCCTATCCCAGCCCCCACCCATTGGCAACAATTTGGGGCTCTAATAATATAAAGGGGACCTAATATCCCTATCCCAGCCCCCAACCACTGGCAATAATAATATTCAGGGGGGACAGTTCTAAATAATTACACAATTAGTGGTATGGTCCACCCCCTAATTAAAACACATATCATATTTATGTTTAATTCACAACCTTAGGGCAACTGCACAGGCTACATAACATAACTCCTATATATAATGAGAACAAAACAAGACATGTTTATAGGTTTTAGGAACAGTACAAACACGACAAGAGTTACGGATGACAATGTGTGCATTTCTGTGGATGTTTGAATATTTTTGATCATTTGTGCAGATCGTATTGTATAATTGACTGCCTTGAAACATAAACGCTAAGTTACATTCTAAACAGAGAGTTAGAAAGAGGATACAGAGGAGGTTAAATTAACATACTAAGAGTGCTTGTATTTCATTACGGCCCCTGGCAGTGTGAATTATTGAGTCTATAACAAAACCAGCTGTACTTCTTAGCAAATAACATTTGTGTTCCTGGAGGAGCAATTACAGAAATAATAATGTATTAATATAAAGTATAGGCTTGTAATACATTAAATGTCCCTTTGGCTTCCTTTGCTTCATGCTCTATTAATCGGTTAGATTACTGATTATTATATAGTTTGACATTTCTAATTTACAGGGTTACTGCATGATAAATAAGACTGTTTAAACTACTCATGCAGAGTTGGTAAACTTTTCCAAGGATATAAACAAGTAAAGCCATTTACAATCATTGCTAAGATTGACCAGAATGAGGGACGGTCGATAGGCATTGATTTCTACCCAATTCCATACATCTTTGGCAATCAGAAGGTACAGCAGTTACTGCAGGGTATAGGCAATTTCCATTTAAGGGGTTATTGAGCACTGGTTCTCTCTAAGATTTAATAAGTCACTTTTCCCTTAAAAGGACAACTGGCACCAAAGAACTATTTTAAAAATAATTATAATTTCATCAGGTTTTGAAAGGAAATAGATATTTTGTTTTTAATGAAGTACATTACATGACAGGATCCTTCAGCCATATACATGCACCTTAAAGTTATGAAAGGATTGCTATATTAAATATTGTTTTGAGATGACAGCTGTCCTTTAAGTTTTTTCAGCAGAAATCAACTGCTCAATGGACATATGGCCAAAAGATCCAGTAGGAAGAGCTCTATTTATTTATTTAAATAATATTTTACCAGGAAGATATCTCTAGTTTCCAAGTATGTCCTGGATCCCCAACATTCCATTGTTACAATAGGGTACAGTAAAATATTAAAAATAGAAATTAATAATAAAATATACATATACAAATTTAGCACAGAACAGGTAAGAACATATAATCAACCATGACTGACACATTCTGCCATAGATCTCTTAAAGGGTTTAAGACTGGACAAAGATTAGATTATGCACATGAGGTTATTCCATATTTGAGATGATCTGTAGGAAAATGAGGATTGAGCCACTTTGGATTGTATTTGTATTTTTGTACTGTGGTATACTAAATAAAATGCTGGTACTGAATCATAGGTCATAGGAGATGGGAACAGCTCAGGTAGGGTTGGAGTTCCCAGAAACTCTTAAACACAAGGCTGGAAAGGTGAAGAGTGCGTCAGGATTCCAGCGATAGCCAGTTTAGCTCTTTTAACATGTCACAATGGTGGGTCATGTAATTACATTGTAGCACAAAGCGGCAGAACGAGTTATATAATGTAGTAAGTTTAAACCCCATATTCAAAGACTTGCATTAGCATTTGTTGTAAAATTTGTTTCCTTACTGTAGGGCTTAGACAGGATTTGTTTCTGTACAGGGCACCTAGTTTTGGATAAAGTTAGTGAAGGTGACACAGAGGTCATGGGAGTGGCTTCATAATCGATTGCAGATACAGTGACAACGTAGTCAACTCAATTCACCATGTACTTTATCACAGCAGAGATACTATTTCTGGTAAGCAGATGCTCTGTATGAAGTATTAGGTAGAATTTTGCATATTCACCTTGTGGATACAACCAAGCATTGGGCTGCAGTTCTTATCTCAATATCACATATATATTATTCTCCCACTTATATGCTCATACAATTAATCACAGCAATATATGGAACAAATGTAAGCTTTCCTTTTTACACAATTTTATTGAATATGGACGTTATTAATTACATCAGTCATGAAAATACATTCTATAGACAAGCTAATCATACAGTTGTAGAAAAGTTCAATAATGGTATGGTGCAAGTTCTTGTACCTTTTCCTTTGGCGGAAATTTTTAAATTCAATGTTTTTATTGTAGTTTTTGAGAAGGGTGTGGGTGGGGGGTACAGAAAGAAGAAAATGGGGGGTTAAGGTGGGGCTTCAGGGATGACAGTGATACATCTTGGTTTATGGTACTGCATGATATCTAATTCATAATATATACATATATGTATACATAAATAAATAAATAAATAAATAAATAAAATAAATAAATTAAATAAATAAAATACTTTTATACTCTATATATGTATACATATATGTTACCCAGTGCATTTTATCCAATGTATATTTCATAATACTTAATGTCCAATACATTATATACATTATATACCTCGGTATATTGTATTACTGGGTGTGTGTTGCTTTGCAGTACTGTGGATTGGTGTGGTTCGGTTGAGTCAGCTCTGATGTATGTCGCGTGTATATTTGCTCAATGGGTTATGGGCCTTTTTGAGGGCCAAATTGGGGACTTGAGTAGGTACCCGTTTGAAATAGGTGTCATGTCTTATATAAGGTGTATAAGACAGTGTGTGGTTGTTTAGATAGTAACTTATTGTAACGATACATTTGCTAAAACGTTTTTTAGCAGTTTACACTTACGTCTATCGACGACCCCCTTACCGGATCTCCGTGTCATTTGGGTGGCTCCTATGAGCCTGAGAGATAATGAGGTGGGAATTTTTGGTACAGTAATGCCAATGGTTTGTAATATGCCTTGTGCTGCATCCCATAATGTGCGTATGCGTGGGCACGTCCACCAAACGTGAGTCATTGTGCCTCTATCTGTCTCACATCTCCAACAGTGTGGGGGTACTGAATTGTACATTTTGTGGAGTCTGTAAGGCATTAAGTACCACCTGTATACCATTTTTTTGTGTGCTTCGATGTGGGAATAACATTGTGTGAGTCCTTTAAGAGCATTCAGGGATGCTAGTATTTCCATATCAGATGTCAGGGAGTCACATTCCGTGAGCCATTGGGTCACGAATGTGGTGGGTTGTGGTGGTGTTATGCATGATAGAGTTCTGTAGCAGGAGGTGAGGGATTTGGGCTTGGTTGGGGCTCAGACGAGCCGGAGTTGTCAGCCTCAGTGTTTTGCGAGACGTGAGAGGGTATAATGCTTTTAAGTTGCCTTTAAACTATGTATTAGTTTAGGGAGGATGGCAGACATTCGGTTTGCTATGAGTTTCGCGTATAGTTTGACATCGGGATTCTCTACATTTTTAAATAATATGACAGAGATTATTCATGGATCACACTTAAACCGTTGTTTTGCTTTGTGGCAGTTTTAGTAATTAGAAATTAATTGAGAAAAAATTTAATTAGCATTTAATTAGTTGATTTTGTTTCAACTTCCCTACTTTTTAATGACACAAGACGTCATGAAAGCTCTCCTAGCCATATTACATAGATTAATTTTGGAGAGATTTTACATTATGGATTTTGCAGGATTATAGGCAAAATTTATTTATTCTTATTTAATTGAAGATACATATTGCCCTTAATTTGTGTTTGGTATTTAGTCTGAACGTTTTGTTTATTTGGATGTCATGGCAACAGCTGCATCAAAATCACTGTATCTGCTTACCTGATTTTCCTCACATTTCCTACTTTGACATCAGAGCATATCACGTATTTCCTTAGATAGCTCAGTTGGTAGAGTGGAGGACTGTAGTGGATATGCAAAAGCAATCCTTAGGTCACTGGTTCAATTTTGTCTCTAAGGACATGTTTTTTTGTTGTTGTTGCTTGGTACCATAGATCAATAATTCCACTACTGCTTCTCCAATTTCCACCAAATAGTGTTTTTTTAAGTTGCTGCTTCGTTTCTGCCCTCATTTTCATTGTTTGTTTTTCTTCAGGGGAGAGGTGGACCTTACGCAGAGACCTGGTGTTGTTTGTTCATAATTTTTTCAATTCAATTGCCTTTTCAGACAGACTGATAAACAGATAAACAGACAATCAGACAAGGAATCAGCGATTTTTAGTTTTATAGTTAAATTCTTATATAGGGTCATTCACTGACTGAATTCCAAACGCAATGGAAATTCATAGATTTACAAGAGCCAAATGCAGTCAGAATTCTGGAAAATTATTTTGGAAACATTCATAAAATCATTAATATCTGCATCCAATTAATACAATTAACAGCACAGGAATGGGAATCAGATATTTATCAATGACCACATGGCAACCCCATTTAAACTGAATGCATCCAGAACTACAGGAAGCGCATTCACAAAGTGATTGTAAGCTTACGAGCTATGTAACAAGGCACTTTGTACAAGAGAGCTTCAATAGCTGGATCTCAGCTCACAGACAGGCAATCTTTACCTTTTGTACTGATCTGTGTATATTGTACTGTTTATTAATAATAAATATATAGGACATGGATTGAGAAAGGGGAGAATCGAAAACATTTGCAATTTTTTATGTTGTCTTCCAATAAATCTTATTGTAGCACATGGTGTTTGTTAGCGCATCCCTCATTTTGTTTTAATAATTGTTTACTTGCTTTCTGCAAGGGTATTGATCATTTGAGGAACTATGTGCCTCCTGAAAGAGCTAGCAAGGGTTAATTAAGTAGTGGCTGACCACATAAAAAAAGAAAAAAAATGAAAACATTAATAATCCTATATGTTCCTTGTCACCACTGTTATTCGTCCTAGTGATGGAACCACTCTTAGAAGCCATCCGTAGTAATCATCAGATTAAAGATGTTAGATACCCCAGTGGGGAGATGAAGGTGTCAGCATTTGCAGATGCTATCTTACTATCACTGACAGATCCGGTACGTTCCCTCCCTCACATTCTAAAGGAGTTAGAATTGTAGCTCTCTGACACATTTTAAGAATAATGTAGACAAATGTGAAATATTTGGTCTGTTCCTCCCGAAAGAACATGAGACGCAAATAATTTTTTTGAAGGAGTGAAGACTGAGTGAAAGGTGCAGCCCTGGAGAAGTCTTGAAGGCGAGCATCAGAGGTGGGAGTACGGACAGAGGACAGACGTACGTCTTCGGCAGAGCAGAGGGGCCTCAACGGTACATATTTTTGTATTAGGGAGGATTGTTAGGTAGGCACCAGAATCTTAAATTGGGCCCTATATCTAATGTAGGGACTGACAGAGGGGGATGCATGGGAGGTGAAAAATTAAGAAAATAAAAATTAGCCTTGCCGCCACATTCATTATA